ATCAGGGCTCAGGTAATCTGGGTTTTATTTTTTGTTGTTGTTTTTTTTTTGCCATTTTACGGAGCAAGTTTGTAAAAATTACTTGTCAATAGAGGAACTACATATTCTTTTTGACATTAGAAAGTTAGGATTTAGGGAAACAGCAATCTCTACAAGTTGTCTGAGGAAGCCTGCCGCCCAGGACATAGATGGAACAAGCCCCTTAGTACTTCCAGTCTCCCTGTCTGCCATCATTTCTGAGCTTAGGTACAGCCTCTCCAGCTGGGAAATGGGGGGAGGGGTTCGGGCAGGGAACACATTGGGGTTTAACCCTACCCAGATAATTGTTTGGAAATCCACAATGAAAATAAGAGCTAATTGTTGGGAAATCCCAACAAATCCCAATTGTCTGTTCAATTACAGACAATACTGTATGTGGTAGGCAATAACAATGGCATTGAACAAGTCAGACCTAACCTTCCTTGTTAAAAGTTTTAGAGTTAATGTTTGCTAATGTCAGTCAAAGTCCCACCACAGAGTACAAATCTATCTGGTAACTGAGGAAAGTTTAGGAATGGAGCTATTTGCAAATATGTAGGCAGTCACAAGAGAAATCAAGAAGGGATGGAGAAGCATCTCAGGACTAGCAGCCTGAGGGAGCCTTTACTACCCTTAGGCCTAAATGGGTAAGCAAAGAGGTTGCCCTAACCTTGAGAGGGCTGTAGCCATGGAAGAGCTCAGGCACAGGTGATCATCTTTGAGATCTTTGGTAAGAATCTAGCTGTTTCTAACTGTAATCCTATGTAGAATGAAGTGAGAGAATAAATAGCCTAACTTCACTCATATACCCTCCAATATCCTGCTAGTGCTCCCATTGGCTAAACTGAGCCATAAGTCAAAGGGTAAGAAACATGGTAGATCCAACTGATGGAGCATAGAAGATATTAGTCTACCAGGGTAAAAGGCCTATGGAAAAGGACAGAGAATGGATATGAGAGGCCAAAGGAGAATGTCTATATACCAAAGAAGACAAGAACCAGTAGCAACCCTTGATAGTACAGCTTTAGGAGAAAAAGGAGATAAGAGAGATTGGAGAGCATGAGCTGGTTAAAGATGAGTCATCAATAAGTTGATTGAAAATAAATGGAAGAAGTTATAAGATTATCTTAGAGATCTCTGGAGTAGGAAAATGTAATTGTTCACAATATGGAACAAAGAGAGAATTTTCATTTGAAGAGCAGAAAGAAGTACTGTAAAGTGGAATGACTGGATAAAAAGGACTAACAGATGGACCCAAAATGCAAAAGGATGGTTTTGAAGTTGTAGTAGTATTACATGAATAATGTCAAAACAGTACCACCTTGTTTACTGGAAATCATTGCTCCATTCATCCTCAATAATAATCAGTCACTCTTAGAATTTATGCTACTATGGTGGGTTTACTATCTTATCTCCTAGGAGTGTTTTTATTAAGGTAAGATCTTTCAATGTTTTTGGTATGATTTACACAGATGAAGGCACTTGATTGAAATGAGAAGACTAAATTTGAGGATTAGGTAAAGGTTATGAAAACTTTAAATGTATTTCAAAATTAGTTAACTATTAGAATACTTTCTTTGCTAAAATTAAATATGTAACAAGAAGCAAAGACAATTACTTACAAATTAAATTGCTTTTTATCTATATTTTTTCTTTCTACAAAAAATGTTAACTGTGTTTCAAGCTAGATACAATGTTCTATCTAAATTTCATCTCCAAATTTTGTGTTCTTTCACTACCATTTAAAGGACAAATTCAGCTGGACATGATGAAAGAGTCACTGGATGATAATCCCAGGGACTCTAATTTCCAGCTGAAGCAGGAGGATCCAAAGTTCAATACCAGCCTGGACAATTTAGCAAGACCTGTCTTAAAATAAAACGTAAGAAGAGCTGAGGGCATAGCTCAGTGGTAGAGTGCCTCTGGGTTCACTCCCTAGTACCAATAAACAAATAAACAAACAAATAAAGAAAGAAATTGGAATTTTTCTAGCCTGATTCTCCTAAGATTGTCTTTGGGGTTACTCAATAGACTGAAGATCTCAGGAGTCACAGTATTTGAACTACTCATATGTCACCCATCTCATTAGTGACATTATATCATTTATTGTTGAAGCACCTAATTAATACTTAAAATTAGCCAGTGACAGAGAAACTGTGAAGAGTGGAGTAAAATGTTTACCCATCCTAAGAACTCTGCTGTAATCTTGTTGTCAGTACTACTGGCCATACATTGCCAGTAGTACTGACAACAAGAAATATCCATCAGAAAACATCTGGCCCTTTCCTATATGTTTCTCTGATATTTAAAAGTATACTGTTTTTTTTTTTTTTTTTTTTTTTTTGGAGGGGGGTGTACTGGGGACTGAGCTCAGGGGTACTCAACCTCTGAGCCACATCCCCAGCCTATTTTTGTATTTTATTTAGAGACAGGGTTTCACTGAGTTACTTAGCACCTCACTTTTGCCAAGGCTGGCTTTGAACTCGCAATCCTCCTAACAGCCTGCCAATCTGCTGAGATTACAGGCATGTGCCACAGAGCCCAACTTGAAAGTATACTTTATTTTAAAAATCTATCCAGTATTCAAATTGGTAACATGATGAAAAGATTCTTCTTCGAAAAAAAACCCTACTTCCATTTATTAAATGTGCTACTTACACATTTATAGGTGTGCAGATTAGAGTTCTTTCAGTAGAAGAGGAGTCAATCTGATTTATTAAATAATAATTTTAGCACCCTCCCACCTCTACACATACACATTTTACTGATAGGGTAAGTCAGAAGTCTTAAAAAAAAACAACTGTAAACTACAAGGTTTCTTCTGTTTCTCTTCTATCCCTACAACAATAAACTAAGATAATCTGGAATTTTCCAAGCTTTGGTTAGAAGTCTTTCGCTTCAGAAGAGACCTGAGGAAAAAAACTTAACTGACCTTTACAGGTAGGAAAGCATAGCACCTACTGAGATTTGTCTTCTTGTTGGCACCTCTCTACAAAAGAAGTGGGAGGCTAAAATCAGCTTCAACTTGTGCAAATTAAAAGTAACCTTCAGGCTAATGGGTTTTCAACACCACTCCTTACTGAGAAAAAAATAAAAATCTACCCCATAAAATTAAATTACCTCCTCAAAACTGACTTCTCTAATAAATTACAACATTAAATATGTTAAAATAAAATTATAATTCCTTCCAAACAATCCCTTGCTTCCTGAGGTAACACCCTCCCTGTTACTGTTAGAAGTAATTCTATCTGTAATGGAATACTTCATTCAGTTCTGGAGTCCAGTACCAAAAAAGACCACCAAAAACCTAAAAACTGTCAATGAAATGGAAAAACAACTAAAAGTCAAAAAAATAAATCAGATATTTGAGGAAAGCAAAGAACTATAGTTAGGAGAAATTCAATCTTTTAGCTCTTTAGCAAACACTAAATTTAAAGAACATAAAGCATTCTAACCTTGTGGAAAGTGACCAGCTACTTTCAGTTTCTTTGGAGTACAGATCAAAAAGAAACAACAAAACAAGTAGGCCTGGTAATGAGTTTGTAAAGTGGTGGCTCTCTATTAATCCTAGCAATCACTAAAAATTGTCTATATAGTTCACTAATTGAAGAAGTTCTAATGTAGTCCTTTTAAAACAGCATTGAAACTTGGAAACACGTTGTTGAGTCAAAACTTTGTACTGAGAACTGGACTAGTTCCTTTAAGAGGGAAAATATGGAAACAAAAAAAAAAAAAAGAGGAACAGTACAACCCACTTGAAGAGATGGGCATACATATAGCTAGAAGCAACTAATGAGCACAAAATGCAAAAATGATGTGCATAATTTGAACTGGGAGATCATTTGGAGGAAAGTCACAGGAGATTATATAAAGCCAACAGGTTAAATTTTGTTTGAAAAACCATGGATGGGCTAATTTTAGAATACCTGAAAAAACAGTATTCTGGAAACTATATACAGGATGAACTAAATCAGGAGAAGCATCACGCTAATACTAAAACTAACACAGACCACTAGTAGGTGCTAGGACTATCTAAACATTTACATATGAAGTCACTCATTAAATCGTCACCTTAATGTTCTGAGTCCAAGAGTGTTACTATCTTGTTCTACAGACCAGGAACTGATCCACTTAAATAATGTCGGATTTTGAGAGTAAGCCTCCTGCATAGCAGACTTCAGGCAAATAAATATAAGCAAAGTACATTTCATTTTCAAAGCAAGTGTTGATTATCTAGAGAAGAGAATACTCAAATTTCCATACAATATATCATATTGTTTTAAGAATTTTTATTACAGAAATTTTCCAATATTTATAAAAATAGAAAGAGTACAATACACCCCTGTATCCCGTTGTACTCAGGCTTGATTCATCTGCTACACAACCCCTAATTTCATATACCTAACCTTCATTATTGGATTTAGTGATGATTAAACCATATAAAGTATTACTACTAAACTCTGAGGGAGGGGTATAGGAAATAAGGAGAGGTAGACTACGCATATGAATGTTTCTCTAAAAAATGAAGACTTTGCTTTTTTTTTCCCTAAACATGACCACAATACTATCATAACACTGCAAATCACACACTCATTCACATACAATGCTTATTAAGATAAAATATCAAGGAATGATCCAATTTTCAATAATTTATCTCACTTTATTGATCCAAGTTTTAATAATTTATCTCACTTTAATATCTATTGAGAACTTGCAACGCACCAGCATTCGGTACCATCACATAGAGTAGTTTATTGAAATTGCTGTTATTTAAATTGCGTTTTTCCTCCCGCCTTTCACTCCAACTGAAAGGACAAGTCTGTCTGCACCGGTGACTCAGAGCCTCCGCAGCAGGCTCCAGCCTTTGCCCACGGGGCGGAGGCTGGGCCTGAGCGGCTTTCCGCTGGGTTCGCTCTGGCCCCGGGACGCTGGCCCCACCCCGGTTGCCTAGGCGACCAGGGCCGTTGCTATCCCGCGACATCATGGAGACTTCCTTGGGGACGACCCCTGTGGGAAGCACACCCGAGGCGGAGGTACGCGGCCCCTTTCCCCGTCCCAGTCCGGGTCCCAGAAGGTCCGAGCGCCTGACCCCGCCACGGGTCAGCGGCCAAGGCCACGGCCCGCCCGGGAAGGTTCTCCAGGCCCGGCTTCCGCAGGTGCGCCGCCCAGCACGACCGCGGGGCTGGAGCCCGCCCGGGCGGCGCCCGCTGCGTCCCCGAGCCCCGCCGCGGCTGGCCGTCCCCAGCTGGCCCTAGTGCACCGCGCGAGGTGCCCGTGATTATAAATTGTATTCATTCTTGCTTTGGACGGTTAGTTCCATGCCCGAAAGACCTTACATCCACTGACTTTTTTTTTTTTTAATTTAAAAATTAAAAACTGATTTCAGATTTTTAAATGGGCCAGTCCCTTTAAATATTTCTATAATGATCACAGCTATGATTGTTTGAAAGGTGTCGCTGAATAATAACTGCTTATTGGTAGTGGATTGAGTAAGTGTAGAAGGCCAGACCTTGGTGCTTCTGTTATTATTTTGCCATTTCTCTGAAAAAAAAAAAAAAAAGATAGGCGACAGGACAAAGAATAGCAGATGGAAAATCCATCTTCCAGCCATGTCTTTGTTGCTTATTATTAACATGTCTTTTGGAAATCATTTGACCTTCGTGGACCCCAGTAGCCTCCTTGTGTAACATAAAGGTTTTTTATCTTTAGACCCCCTCAACACCCACACACAGCAATGATTTTTAGGTACCTTTACTCATTTAGGCTTAATACCCTGAGACATTTAACTAAGAACACTGCCATGCCAGATATAACCAAAAAATGTTTTATTCTCCACAACCGAGTTTTATTCTTCAGCTTTTTTTCAAGCCTCTTAGGTGAATAATAATGTGTTAATTAACATCACTTTGCCTTATTAGTCTAAAAAACATTCTTTGTGCAGAAGATAAGTATTAGCTGTAATTTTATAAATGACGAAATGCAGAGAACCAATAATTTTGCTCCTTGCTCTCAGGCATCTAACTGTTCCCACTCTGGATCCCTCCAATACTATATGCAGACCGCTAAGGCATGCAGACTCTCATATGAGCCTTTTGAAATAAAATTAGCATACATTAAATGCACTTTTTAATGTGATAAAATGGTTTCTCAGTCACTTACTCCCTTGTGATCTCTAATGTAAGTAATAGAATTTCAAAAGTAGCATAGAAAATTTCCCAATTAAATTGTGTTATTTAAACATATAGAAAAACTTACGAGAATGCACAATTGCCAGTGTAAGCATACTTATACAAGTAAATAATACCCTTTTATTAGTAGATTGATAATTTTGCAGTCTGTTGAATCTGTACTAAAGTACACATACACACAATCTGTGCCATATATAAAAATGTGCACATATATAAAATAGTATTTATATATATCTACTTCAGATAGATATATCTGTACATATATCTATGTACAGATATACAAATATATAGATATCTACTTTAGATATGTATAATATACATATATGATTACACATATGTGACGTAATGAAGTGTCATACTCTAGGGAAAAAAACTCCACTTTTTATAATGGATGAATCAGATGAATGCACTAGTTATAGACCTTAGATGATTATCTACCATCTTAGGATTTTCAGCTTGCCCATCTGTAACTTTGTGGAGTAGCAGATATTCCTCATGATATGCAATTCAGGATATGCTCAGTCTTTTGGTTATTAACAAACTGGGGACATCAAGTTGTAACTTGGACTCACTTAGTGGGCTCATTTACTAAGATGACACATTAATACACTGGGTGGTGAAAAGTCCATTTTCCATTCTAATGAAAGCAGAGTTCTTATCCTTCACAGGGGAGACAGTTGCTCCATACAGCTGTGTCATTCATTACAGTGACAAGTTCTGCCTGCTGCCCATTTGTGCTTACTTCGGGTTTCAGAGGTTAGATGGAAAAGATGGCAAGGCTCTCTTGTAGTCTATTCCCAAGAATGCAGCTTTTTAGCTGAATACTGAAAGGTTCTTCTTAGATCAGATTCTTTGCAGAGTTGATCCCCCGGGAGCTAGTCCCTGATGGTGTCATTTCTAATAAATTCTTTATCTTAATTGACTGGCTTAGCCAGTAGAACATCTAGTCAGCAGAGCCAAGATGTAGTGAAATATGTCTTTTCTTGCCAAATCTATCAGAAATAAAGCATAAACTTCCAATAGTTTGAGGTTTCCCATTTATTGGTAGTAGCCAACACCTAGAATAAAAGTAACCAATTATCCTAACCACATAGTAGACACACAATAAATTATTAAAATCATGGGTAGTCTGAAATATGCAGGAGAGGTAGTTATCATAGACTAAAACCTACTCTGAGATACTGTGAATAAATGGACATGAGACACAGATCCAGGGAAACTATTCCTGTGACATTGCATAAGCTCTATTTGCCAAATTTCTGAATTCAATATTCTAGGTTCTTTAATTATATTGGAGAAAATGCCTCCCTTTAAAATTTAAATCTAAACTTTTGGCATTTAATGTATGGACACATAAAAACAGAGAAAAATGGGGAAAATCTGAAAATAAGCATTTCTACATGTTGACATATATAAATGAAAGGAGTTTATAAATGCAAACTTAGACTTCAGTAATCAGTCTTCTATCCATAGTTTGTTCATAAACTGGCTTTCTTAATATCTTCAAAAATAGTATTTGCAAAATAGAATCATTTAAATGGTAAACATAAAAGGAATATGCTTCAACTCACATGAGAGATCTAAAAGAAAATGTAGATGATTGTTTCTCAATTGCTTCTTCTGAATAATGTCTCTTAAAATGTTAGCACATCTTCAAATCAGTGACATAAACTCAGTGCATGAGCATGGCGGGGGGGTGGGTATTTGTGTATGTATTTTTGTACCCAGTATTGAACGCATATCATCCCTTTTTTTAATTTTTAATTTTGAGACTAAGCCTCACTAAGCTGTTTTGAGCCTTGAAAAGTTGCTGAGGCTGGTTTTGAACTTGTGATCCTTCTGCCTCATCACCCCAAGTCTCTGGGATTACAGGCATGTATCACCATGCCTGGCTGGAACAACTATATAATCTTGAGCAGAAAGATAATGTCAGTTGTCTGAAAGAATGTCCAGTGGAGTCTATAGATGATTCTTTCTATGTTAGATGTTCCCTACAAATGTTAGAATATAGACCCTACCCAACCCCTGAAGGTTAGAGAAAAACCATGAGCTCAACTTGGGTAGCACAATGAGGTTTCTAGAATTTTAACATCATTCAAATTTATTGAAATTTAATGAAATTATGAGTAATTCAATGTGAGTAAAAATATTGTCATATAGTAAAAATCAATCTGTGTACACTATGGGACACTATGTACTTAAAAATCTTACTGAGTGATAATATTTATCAGTATTTGGGGCTTCTGGCAAATACTGGCCTTAAGCATGGAAATACTGAAAAATATTTGGGGTTGTCTTTTTTCTTGCCATTGTTTACTGTCTTGTTTATAAAGCTCTGCTCTTACTTTGCCTCTGTCCTTCTCTAAGGTGGCCCTATATAATCCTCAAACGTTTTCTAATATTTAAAGTTTTATTTTATTAAAATTAATTATTTAACAAATCTAGAGTTAATTTTTGATAGGTGTGTTTTGTATTTGAAATGAGGATCTAATTTGAATCTATTCATGTCCATTGAGAATAGACTTACTGTTGCTATCACATTACATATAATACATGAGTAAGTATAAGAATGGACAAACTACTTAGTGGACAAGAATAAAGGATCCAAATTTTATTTTATATAAAATTCTCTCTTCTGTTGCATTGACTAGTTTGTCCATTCTTGTATCAATATCATATCAATTTTATATTCAGCTTTACTATCTAATTTGGAAATGTCATCCTCACTATTGTTTTCAAATGTATGTATTCTCCCATAGGAACTCAAAATTTTATCTGGTAAAGTTCTAGAATCCCATTGAGATTATTAGCGCATCACATTTATAACATGGGTGGTGTTTCATGTTTTGAATTAGAGATTTTCAATACATTTATTTTATCAATTCTTGTCTTTAAACTTTTGATAAAGTTTTAGAATTTCTCTATATAGGCCTTATACCTTTCAAATTATAATCAAATATAATTTAATGAAGTTTTCCCTTTTCCATTTCTAATTAGTTCCTCATGTAGAAAAAAAGCAATTGACTTTTATATATTTGTTATTTATAACCATTTTACCAAGTTTATTATTAACTCAAACACTATTAATACAATGTCGGCTTACTTAGGAATGTAATCTTATAATCCTTAATGAAGATTTTTTAATTTAATTTTCTCATTTCTAATATTTAAGGTACATATTTAATTTTCTTACCGTAATTTTTAGATCCTCTATAGTATGTAGAATTACAATAATGTCGCTAGCCATAGTCCTTTTTTGTAATAGAAATACATATTTTATTACTATTAATATTGTTTTCTATAAAGTGTTTTCAAATCAGCTCATATGATAATAGCCACAGTGCTTTTTCGGCACATGATTTTTAATAGGAAAGACTGCCATTTCATCATTCAATATTATGTTTATTGTTCATTTTGGTAAAAAGTCTCTTTCATATTTAGCTATTTTTCCCTATTTGCTGAGTCTTGCTGCTGAGTCTGCAAAGTACTTTTTCACATTTATTCATATAATCATAAAATTTATTTCATTTAATTTGACATAAAATTACATTCAAGGTATTAATAATGATCCATCTTTTATTTCTGAATTTAATCTTCTTTGGTCATAATAATAACTTATTAGTATTTAATGCATATCTGGGTTCAATTTTCCAATATATATTTTAATTGTAAATTTTGCATCTGAATGTATTAGTGATTCTGGTTCATGATTTTTCTTTTTTTTAGTTCAGGGTTTATGTGTTGCTTATACTTGCTTCTTGAAAATGAACTCTATAAAATCTAAAATTATCAGAGTAACACAGAATTTATTTGTTTTTTATTATAATTTAGTATTATATTTTAGAAATTCAAATATAATACTATCTGGCATATTGACTATATAAAAACATGAGTTTACTTTGCATTTGTCAGGTCCAGTTTTCTCCTTTACCCCAGTCAATTTTTTTTTAGTTGTAAATAGACACACAATACCCCATTTTGTTTATTTATTTTTATGTGGTGCTGAGGATGGAACCCAGAGCCTCACACATGTGAGGCAAGCCACAACCTCATCCTAACTCCAGTCAATTTTGATAACTTAAAATTTTCTAGAAAAATCATCCATTTCCTTGGAATTTTTATATGTATTTAAACTGAATGTACTATATATTTATTTATTTTCTTTCTTTCATATTTAATTACATGTGACAAAGTTTTGTCTCTTTTATTCACATTTAAGAAGCTAGTTCTTTCATTTATTTATTTTCTTTTAAAAAACTATTTGATCCTTACCTTCACAGCATGATGGCAAGGTGAGCACAAAGTTTAAGGAGATGTCCAAATCTCAGTAATTCAGACAAATCATGTTTTGATGCACTACTTTCAAAAACAAAATTAATACAAAAATCTTGATGGATTAAATTTTAAAATAGAGATAGGATCATTATTACTGTTTTTTTTTTTTTTTTTGCCTCAGGCTCTAATATGGCTCAATACTGCACTACTCCTTAGTTCATTTATTTTAGACTTTAAAAAACAATGCTTTTCAAAATCTGGCATTTGTAGATGGCCTATGTTCTATGTGACTAGGAAGCTCCTCTATAGTAATGAGGTAAAATCTGTTATCATTCTTTAATTACATTTGTTAAGAATTTTTTCTATATAAAATACCACCATTGTTGGATACAAACAAGCCTCTGAAAGCTTACATTATAAAAAGAAGATATATATGTGTGTGTGTATATATATATATATATATATATATATACACACACGCACACACACACACACACACACACATATATATATATATATATATACATACATATATATGTATGTACACACACTTACACACACACACACACAATGTGGAATAGTTTGGTGACATTAAAGGAAAAAGAAATGAGAGAGAGAATTATCTAGTAAATAATGCCAGGCTTAAAATTTTATTGCTCTTGGAATAGCTGCTAAAATCCACCAGGTGGTGGAATAAAATGAGGTAACAGTGCAATTTAGCTTACATATTTTCCTAGCCGGAGATGTAATTTTACAGAGAAAGCCACAATTACATATCCACATTTTTTAGTCTATTTATGAATTTTCTGTTATGTCTTTAATTCTTACAAATCAGAATGTATGTGTTGAAAGATCAAAGATTTTTAGCCACCTAATATTCTTTCTAGTGAGAGGCAGTATAATAAACAAACAAAAAAGAGGCCTAGTTTAAATAGATCCAAGAATACAATTTAATAGAAAAGGAAAAAACCCTGAGGCAAACTCTACTAAAAGACAATTATTTTAAGCCTCAAAGTTTTAGTAAAAAATGTAGCTCTAATATTAGGCATCTTAGCTAGAATTATTATTGTCCAGAAGGTTAAGATGATGATTGTATTCTCTTTCATACAGCTCTTGGGTGGCCTACTTTTCTCCTATCCAGAGATTTTTTTGAATCAAATAAATTGATCTGAATCTCTGTGTAATTCACTTTTCTTGTATATCTTTAATTCATTATTAATAATGACAGCAATCTTGTATTTATTAAAACATATAAAAATGATTTTAAATAAGGATCTGAATTTAGATTCAAATGACTTGCTTCAAGACATAAAATGAATCAGTAGTCAAGCCATCATGAGATCCTCTAAATCTGTCCTTCATCACACTCTGCCACCTAACACTGTCATCCTGTGATGAAGAGAAATTCTGTTGGCAACCTGTGTTGACATACAAGGATTTGCAGAATTCTAAAAGAAGTAAAAAATTGGGTGTCTTTGAGGAATTTATAATTGAATGAGATTGACAGGGATAAGTATATTTTACTTCTAATAAAATGAATATTATAAAAACATTTAAACAAATATATAGACATATATTAGGAACCAGAACAGTATCCTATATAAAAATGGAGTGATTTGTTTTAATTTACAAGTATCTGAGTGCCCAATAGGGGTAAATTACTTTATTTAACACTAAACTATTTTTTCATGTTCAGTGTGTTGGTGTATGCCTATAATACCAGCAGTAAGGCTGAGGCAGTAAATTGCAAGTTCAAGTCTAGCCTTAGCAACTAAGCAAGACTCTTTCTCAAAATAAAAATGGCTAGGGATGCTCAGTGATAAAGAATCCCAGAGTTCAATCCCCAATACCAAAACTACATAAAATATTTTTTCTTAATGTGTTTGTAATTTCATCATATGACCTTGTTTAAGTTTAATTTGCTCACCCTTAGATTATAAAAAGATGGCTAATAATTTTACATGGTTTATTTCTAAATTAATTTTTTAAAATAAAAATACAATGATAACCTAATATTAAATTACAAACACTAAACCAATAATCATTATTAATAAGCCTAACTTTGAGAGTCTTCTATTATTGGAAAGGAATAAAGGAAACGTTTGGGATGTGATCTGGTCAATTGTAGCAAAGCATTTCCTTGGCTGCCCTTATTTACTGGAGCACATTCACATGGAAGGTCCAATAACTATTTGGTGAATTTAAAAACATTTGGTGTGTTTCTTCCCATATCTCGCAATCCGTGATGCTGTGTAGCCCCTGTCTCCCATCTCTTTCATGGCCTCCTCTTCCATCTCCCATTCACAGCTCTTCTTTTCCTGCTCTGAATTTGGACAGTCTCACCCATTCTCACTCTTGAAGTTGACTCCTAAAACATCTTGAAGCTTGATCTTTCTGAACCCACATTTCTAATTAAATCTAAATATTTCTACCTTGCTATGCATACTCTCCTTAATTGAAATTAAACTTAACATTTTGTCTTTTAAATACCAGTCTTATCTTCTAACATGCTTATTTTTACAGGTGTAACGAGGGTGCTAGGTGGAGATGTGCAGGCTGTACTCTGAACAGAAGCACTTGGCTGAGATGTTGTTGAGGGCTGAAAGTATATTCACATGTGATGTCCTCGTGCACAGGACCACACGAGCTTTGAGAATGGCCTTTTTTTTGCCTCTTCCCCCCAAAAGGATAGCTTTGTCTCATTCACACCAAGGCGGCACCTATGTTATTGAAAGTCCCCAAATCACCACCATTTTCTCCAAGTCACCTATTTCAGAAATTCAGAATGTCCATTCATTCTTCCCTCTTTCAGTCCTCCATAATATAATATGCGGCATTCGCTCCTTTATATTCATCTATACTGCTAATGAAGCCCAATGCTTTATCCCCAAACTGTTTTAGTGACCCCTCTTCATTGAACTCTTCCTCTGTGTTTTTGTTGTTATTGTTGTTGTTCCTGCTTTTCCTTTATCATTCCTTAAGGCAAAATTTTATCTTGTCATTTCACTGCTTGAAAACCATACAGATTCCCTATTGCCTGTATTATTAAGAAAAAAACTTGTCATCTGTCATTCTTCAACCAGCCTGGATCTAAAATTTTTATGGTCCCTTGCACAATATCTTGCACTTTGTAAGCACTCACTAAATATTTGTTGACTCCTTCAATTTAAGATTGCCCATAATATGTTCCCAATGCTCACAGCCCACCTCAGTCCACCTCATCTCCTGCATACCCTAGGTACCACTGTGAACTGCTTGCTTTTGTAAAACCCACCCTTAACTATTCTGTCTACATAACCTTGGCGTTGCTGATTCATTTACCTTGAGCATCGTCCTGCTGTAGTGCAACAATTTATTCCTAGACCTCCCCACTGTGGACTTTGTTTATCATTCCCAGTCCTCATCCCTTTTGTTAAACTGACTGCTCCATTTATTAAAGCTCACTTATAACATTGTTTTCTTGTTTTAATCAGCCTTGGTTTGTTCATCATAAACTTTCTGAGGTTAGCAAGTCTTTCTTATTCACCTTTGCTTCTTCTTGAGCCCAAGTTCAAGGAGGAAGATGAAGGTATTCAGTAAATATTTGTTGAACCCCAACTCATTACTCAGTTTTACATATGTGCAAGAAATAGATTGACTAGTTACTTGATTTGAGGAGAGAGATATAATCACATAAGAATGGAAAAGTAAACAGATTATATAAGAGACCATTGTTTTAATTTTTTTTTCTGACAGCAACTAGGCCACAGGAAGAACAAATTTTGTTATTATTAGGTTTACTGTGTAATCCATGAGATTGCAATAACTCATTCCATTTTTTTGATAGAAAGATACTGAATTGCAAGAGCATGAAAAGATTTTGTCTTCCGATTTTCTTTCAATGGACCAAATCACTGATTTGCTAAAAGAAAATGTAGATGGAATTCAAGAGTAAGTACTTCAATATTACAGTCAAATATAGAATGGTTTTAGTTCTTCATATGTAAATGACTATGTTTTAAAGTTTCTTCAAAATATTTGTTATATTGTGCACTGAAATATATTTAGACTCTAGAACACATAATTTTTTAAATAACTACCTGACTTTTGCATTGCCCAGCAGTCCTTATTATGGGGAGAAATCCATTGAAAACCAATTTGTTTATGCTAATCAAGAATAGGAATTTACTATTAAATGTAGCCTCTAGCATATGCCATCTTCCATTTCTTATCTCTTTCTTCATAGAATGGTCAATATGCACAAGAACCTACAGGGTTGTGTTTTCTGTAATATTGTCGATATATTTTATTATTTTGAAAATCCTGAATATTAGCCACCCACCTGTGATTATTATTTAAAAAATTGAAGCTATGCTATCTACTCTAATTGCATATACATTGCTTAAAAATGTAAATATAACTGAATTTATAGGTCATAATTCTAGCATATGTCCTTCTCACTACTTAGGCCATTTATTTCTACAGTAGATCATTTATTTATATCAAACAAAATTTCATAAAATATATTTTCAGTAATAATTCATTTAAAAAACTATCTTACTTTAAAATGAAAACTCATAAAATATGGAGGTGGCAATGATGTGATGTGCTGGATCACAGTGTTCTGGTGTCTAGCCTCTGATGCTCGTCCTCAGGACACAAGGTGTTGTGGTCCATATGGACAAACAGACAATGATTCTGTCAGTGGTTATAACTGGCAAATCACATAAATATTACAGAGTACAGCAATTTGCTATTAAGAAGGAGACAGGAGAGATGTATTGGCTAGAAGAGAAATTTAAGAAGAGAAGGTTCATGGAGAGCAGAGCCTTTTGCCATGATACTCTTCACCAGCCCACTCTCACAGACTGCTAGAAAGTGTGACCTGTGGTTCAGCCATGCTGCCTACAATCAGTGAATTAAAATTCACACAGATTTTCTTAAAGTATCTCATGATAATTTTACCATTTTTATAAAAATGAATGTTCACCATTGGAATTCAGATTCTTAGTGAGAAAATTGCAAAAAAAAAAAAAAAAGGATTCATTGTGTTGATGCCACTAATTGTGTTTCCATGTAAAATATAATTTTCCATTTACAGGTAACTCCAAATGCTGTTAAACAGTGCAGTGCAAAACAATATGTGTGTATTACTAGGAACAATAGTAAAATGTAAATAACAGATGTTTAATAGTTTAATATTTACTTTTATTACATATTAAGTAAAGCATGTCATATTAAATACAATTATATTAAATAAAATGTATTGTTGCTTTTTAGAACTATTTCTTACCACATCACAAGTTGTGTTGTGTATTATACTTTATGTGACTACTTTTTTAAAATATTGACTCACATTTTTTTTAAATACCTAAATTCTGAAAATAGTTTTAATCTCTAGGTGGTGAGATCCAGGAAAAAGTAAATGATACCATAGTTAATGTAGAAATGAGCAATATAAAAACAGATGGGTTCAATAGCAGATTGATTTTTTTAGACTATCTCATCAATATAGAAATTACCTGAAGCAATCTCAAATTTCAGAACATGTTTGGGTAAATGACATCAGTTCTGTTACGAGTCACTTCTTTGTAATTTATTTTAGGGATCTTTATATGATTTTTGTACAGGAATCCTGAAATATTTGCAATCAATCATTTACTTTGAATTTAAAATAGCATTATTATAAATGGGAATTTATATGCTTTACATTTTGAACATGCTTTTCAAAATGACAGAAATATTATTTAGGTATCCTGTCACCAAGTGCCAGAAGTATGCCAAAATCACACTGTATACAAAGCTACAGGACAATTTAATTTTAAAAAATTCAGTGTATTTACCTACCTTTTGAAATTAAGAATTGCCTCCATGAAAGCAACAAATGAAACATTATCATTAAACTTATTTTTGGAATATACTTTAAAATGTTAAATGTCTGGGTATACATCTTTTGATCTCCTAGCTGCTATAAATCATAAATATTTTTAATGTAACCCTAATTTTATCTACATATCCACCCCAAATCCTTTTTTAAAAAAGATGGGGACCAAATTAAAAATAACTTTATAAACACAGAAATAACAATGAGGCATTTTAAAAAATATTTTATTTAGTTGTACATGGACACAATACCTTTATTTATTTATTTTTATATGGTGCTGAGGATCGGACCCAGTGCCTCACATGTGCTAGGCAAGCACTCTGCCACTGAGCTACAGTCTCAGTCCAAGGCATCTTTTAATAACATTTATGTAGCTGTGCCTCTATGAGCTATTTAGTTCTTCCTTAAAACTATGTCTTCATATCATCATACTTTAGAAGTAAAATACACCCAATTTCAAGAACATGTAAGAATAGGTAATGATTTTACTGAAATACTTGGAAAGACAAAGTAGATAGTAATCATCTCTCACTGTAGCAAAACTTCTTAAAACACTATTAAACATCATTATTTTAATTGACATTCTCTAGCACTACTTCTGTGTCCATCTCTCCCCTCTCCCTTGTTCCATCTCCCCTTGTACCCAGAAAAAGGTTTACAAATTTGCTAGTAAAATTCTCAGAAACTTTGCATTCAAACTTCAGCAGTATCTTGTTCCAAATGTTTCCTGGCATAATCTGCTTTGAAGTGAAATGACTGAACAAACAAGACAAATGATAAATACTTATTAGCCCTGTGGTTCAGGTTCCAGGGAAGATTCAAAGGGAAAGGAGTAGAGGGAGGTAAAAGAGATTTCACCAAAATAATTTAGAAAAATAGTTGTCTTCAAACACGAACATTGAAAAATAAAAACAGAAGTCAAGAACATATACAAACATCCGACCAAACATTTTATTAACAAATCTTACCATGCAGATGATAATTGAAGAGAAACTGAGAAGGAAAAGTAACTGCTAATAGCAGAAAATGTTAGGCAAAAACTGATGGTTAGAAAGGACATCAATTTCACACACACACACATACACACACACACACACACAAAAGTGAATAAAGAATAAATGAGAAAATTTGTAAATAAGGAAATTTTAGAAATAAAGTAGGGAACTAAGTATGAAAAAACAAAACCAGTGTAGAGTTTACCTTGTTGAAAATCAAGTCAATGATAATAATGAAACATTATTACTGAAAACATAAAAATGAAGATTAAAGCAATTAGAAGGTATTAGAATATACACCTGACATAATGAATCAGAAAATAATTTAAACTTCATAAATACTTCAATTTTAATATTTCAATAGAATAAAACTACCTGTATTGCCTAATTTCTGGGTTAAAGTCACACATAGAGGGAAAATAAAAGAATGGCCACAGACTTTTCCTTAATCGTGTCAGGCAGCAGAAATCACTGAAGTTGACTTTTCCTTAATCATACCAGGCAGCAGAAATCAGTGGAGTTGATGAGTCGCCAGAATTGAAGGAGTCAAAAGAATGTGGTTCCAGAATAAAATGTATTGGCCTTCTTTATGATTTGTATATTGAGGGTCAGGTTTAGAAATTTGACTTTCTCAAATATCAGAAATATATTTTTCTATTAAAAGTTTGTAATATTTGCTATTTGCATCTTTAACCTGCATGGATTTTATTTTAATATAAATGATAAAGGGATATTTTATTTTATAAAAGGATAGACAATTTTCCCAGCACCATTGAGTCCATACTTCCCCCATTAAATTGAAATACTACCTCTCTCATATACTAAGCTCCCATATATATTTACACTTTTTAAAATTTTTGTTCAACAGAAGAAAAGGAATCACATCTTAGTTGTGAATTAATAAAATAATCTAAAGTGCCCACCACAAAAAATAATTATAGAGAAATTTCATATACTGAATACCATTACATGGCATTGTAGGTAAAGAGTAAAATTACAATGATTGTTTAGAATAATCAGAATTAACTTTTGATTTTGAGGTTTACCCTGATACCACTGAATATGAAACATATCCACATAAGTTTTAATTTGTTCCCAAAATTGTTTACTCCTGTTGTATTTATTACTCTGATCACATAGTTTATGCTAATATTATGAATAATAAGCACTTCCTTTTTATAAGATGGCAGTGTAAAGCTGTCACACATATACTCCCCCTGCCTCACCCCCAAATCACATAAAAACCACAAGGAAATACCAGTTCCATCTTTGTCAAAGCAAAGAGAATGCTGAAAGCCCAAACTACAAAATATGAAGATGATTGCTACAATCATTATGAAACTACCAGAAGAGCAGGAGAAAATATAAGGAAGATACACATAATTGTAGATCTTAGAATGTGTTAAAAAATATATTTATCCTCCCCAAGGGATAAAACCCTAAGGTGCCATTCCAAGAGCCCTTAGTAGCAGGACCAGGATGTACAGGCTTGGATCAGATACTTTCTGAATCACAGGAAGTAGCCTGTTTATTTGATGGTAATGAGAACCTATCCAGGCTGTTTTCTTCTTTTCACCACTAATTAAAATGAAAAGTAAATATTAGAATAATTGGCAAAAAGCTACTCAAACAGCAAAGGCCTACTAGTTTATAACATGGAAAAGTTTCCACCCCTACTATATTTCCAAAATATAGCACTCCAAGGACAAAAATTAACTTCATTCAAAGATAAATAATGAACAAAGAATGTGCACACAAAAACAGATAACTCGGGCTGGTGTTGTGGCTCAGTGGTAGAGTATGTGCTTAGCAAGTGTGAGGCATTGGGTTTGATCCTCAGCACCACATATAAATAAACAAACAAATAAAGGTATTGTGTCCAACTACAAAAAAGTATTTAAAACAAAAACAGGTAATACAAGGGAAAAAAGAGGAAACTTATAGGAAAAAGAAATAAGAGCAGATAGGGCTGGGGTTGTGACTCAGAGGTAGAGCGCTCACCTAGTACATGCGAGGCCCTGGTTGGATCCTCAGCACCACATAAAAATAAGTAAATAAAATAAAGGTATTGTATCCAACTACAACTAAAAATAAATATTAAAAAAAAAAGAAATAGCAGATAAAGAAAACACACCAGAAAGATATAGGCATGAGTAGAAAAAAAGTTTGATCAAATATTTCATAATGAATTTGTAAAATTTATGAAGCAATCACAACAAGAGAATAAAGTATATATAAATTCAAGGAATAGATAATGAGAAATTAAAGGCTAATAAAACATTTTTAAAATGTAGAAAAGGAAAAATCTTACTGAATTTAAGGTGAAATTTATAGTAGCCCAGGGAAGAAATAACACTGCTGATACATGCTAATGGACAGAGAAGACAGTAATGAAAAATATACAAAAATAGAAAAAAATATTTAAAAATAAAGTGAAAAATTGTAGCTATGAATAAAATTAATAAAACATACCTTACTAGAATTTTTTAAAAAGGAAAATACAAGAGAATATTTAACACTCTAGTTCCAGAACATTTTAAGAAACTTAATTGTGAATACAAGAAATACTGAATTTCAGAGGGAAAAAAAATTACAGACATCAAAGACAGAAGAAGGAAGTAAAGGGGGAAGAATAGAATTAGAAAATAAAGAAAAAGAAAAGGTGACAAAATTACAGAATTCTCTTTTGAATGTTGTTTGAACTTATGGATTGTTATATAACTGGATATTTTAGATTATGAGCATTACAGAATTTTCATTCAAGAAAAACACTTGTTTTCAAAAAGGAACTGTTCAGTAGTTAATCTGATATTGTATTTGGATTTTTGTTTTCTTACAGAAAAATGGGCACATTTTTGAATTTCAGACATCTTCAAACTTGTTTAAAGGAAGGCATTCTACTAGATTATTATGTGTCTGGATTTTTGTGGGCTAAAGGAATGGAATTTTCTATTACTCAATATTCAAAATTTATGACTTTACTGGATATGTTGCTTCATAATCTTAGAAGTAAGTACATTATTTTTCTCTTTTTCAAGAAAAGAAGAACTTAGCCTACCATCTGAATTAATGTTCTTAAGCAAAATTTCTTAATTTTACATTAATTTCTTCAATTAAAATCATGTTCTCCCCCTTTCAGGTTATAGCAAAGATATGGCTCATATGTTTATTGAGCTATGAATCCTCAAATAATGCTTAACAAGACTAAAGTTCTCTTAATAATCAATTTTGCAATGAAATGCTAATTTCATTTAACAGTCTTGTCAATGCCATCACCCTTCAAATAGATGGGGACTCTCTGTGAGAGATAGCTAGCTAGCTAGCTAGATAGATAGATAGATAGAAGATATAGATATAGATATTTGAATCCAGGAATGCTTAACCATTGAACCACATTCCCAGCTCATTTTTTAAATTTTTTTAGTTGTAAATGGACATAATAGATTTATTTTATTTTTATGTGATACTGAGGATTGAACCCAGTGCCCTCCACATGCAAAATGAGCACTCTGCCACTGAGCTACAACCCCAGCCCTCCCGGCCCATTTTTAATTTTAATTTTGAGGTAGGGTTTGGCTAGGTTGCCAAGGCTGGCCTTGAACTTGTGATCCTCCTACCACAGACTCCTGAGTTGCTGGAATTACAGTTTCTCTGTGATATTCTTGCAACATTTTCGTATATATAAAACTCTCTGGAATTAAAAGTTTTCAGTAAGTATTTCCCTAATATCAGTGGGCATAACAAAAAGGGAGGGATGAGGAAGCTTTCTGTGTATTGTGTAGAAGACTACATATCATTAAGCGAAGAATTGTGTGCTTTTGTTTATAAAAGACATAAAAATAAGAATTCAGATGTTTTTGTATATACACAAAGAAATGCAGAAAAATAAAGGATAAACCCATAATTACCTGTTGAGAAAGATAGTAGAATCTGGGCATTTGGACAACAAGTGTTGAAGGAAGTATTTTCTCCTATTAGCTCCATGTTTATATTTTGAAACATGAATATAAGATTGACAAAAAAATTTTAAATTCAGTCTTAAAAGAGAATATATGATATGGCAGTCCAAATCTTTGAATCTCTAAGCAGAGTATTGATGAATTAGAAAGAGAATAAAGAAGAGGAAATATTTTTATGAATCTCAGATTCTCAATTTGAGAACGTATCTGCATCTCAGACTTTTTCCATACCTTATAATTCAAAGGAGAAACTTTTCATTGTTGTTATCAGTTAAAAAATGAATTCCTAAAACTTGAGCTAGACTTATCCAACTATTCATAAACCATGAGAAACTCATGGATTTTAACAAACTTATAGTCATAATCAGTAAAGAATGTGATTTCAGTATGCTTACAGGTTAAAGGAGGTCAAGTATGTCTACATTTAAACTAAGTAGTGGTAGAGTTCTGTGCACATGCTGTCACTCCCATTCACTCACAGCTTATGTGAAAGTGCTAGAGAGCATGCAGTCCCAGATGGTTGTTGTCTTGTGGTCCATCCAGTATGGAACTACTGTTTAGCCTAACAGGTTTTGATCTTATCTTTGCCTTGAATTTGTACTGTATATTTACAAGGCATTCTGCAGACAAACCATCTAGAATCAAATGGAATCAACTCCCAAAATTATGTGGAATATCATATTTGTAGATTTAGTGCTTGGGGATTCAACCAACTGTAGATAGAAAACATTTGAAAAAAAAATTGTGCACAGACTGAACATATTCAGACTTTTTTTTTTTGTATTGGGGATCGAACACAGAGGTGATTTACCAATTAACCACATCCCCAGCTCTTTTGGGGTTTTTTTAGTATTATTTTTTAGCTGTTGTTGGACACAATACCTTTATTTTATTTATTTATTGTTTTATGTGGTGCTGAGGATCAAACCCAAGGCCTCGAACATGCTAGGCAAACACTCTACCACTGAGCCACTACCCAAGCCCCCTAGCTTTTTTAATTTTTATTTTAAGACAACTTCTCACTAAGTTGCTTAGTAGGGCCTTGTTAAGTTGGTGAGGCGAGCTCTGAACTTGCAGTCCTCCTGCCTCAGTCTCCCAAGCCACTGGGAATATAGGTGTGTGCCACACGCCCAGCTCAGATTTTTTCTCCTAGTCATCATCCCCTAAACAACAAGTATAACAACAATTTACTTAGAGTTTACATTGTATAGGGAATTAATTATATGTAATCTAGAGATGATTTAAAGTATGCAGAATAAATGTGTATAGGTTCTGTACAAATACTACACTATTTTATTTATCTGCATATCTTGTCACTCCCAGATACTCAACAGCTTACGTGAAAGTGCTGGTATCCTTGGAGGGTCCCAGAACCAATCCTCTTGGATCCTGAGGAACAATTGTATACATTTGGAGATCTAGTTTTCCTAAGGTCTGACCAAAGACAAAATATAGAGTTTATTGACTAAATATGTGGCCTTTATCTAGGTCCATAGGCATAGATTAACTCCCTGGTGTATAACATGATTACTAGTAAGTAACTATGGGATCCTTTCTAATCCTGTGATGCTAAATCGTTTTCCTCTAAATGCAAATAATCAGATAACATTTATGCAGAATTAACTTGTGCCAGACATAGTACCAACAGCTTTAGAAATACTGTCTTATTTAATTCACACAGAACTTTTGAGAAAAACAAGTAAAGTTCTAAGGGTTGAAAAACTGTGAGGTCATATAAAGTCAACCTCCACAAATGAGATCCCACCTTTATGAATACTGTATCAAATGTGCCTGGCTTTGGGCTGAATTATAGAAAACACCATACCGTGTAATATGCTAGAATATGCAACTTTTCAGTTTGCCAAGAGTTTGACATGCATTTCTTATTTGATCATCACAACAGCACTATAATTATGAAAATAGGTATTATTCTCATTTTATAGATAAAGAAAATGAGACTCAGGTCACCTAGCTAATATCAGCTATGAGGTACCATCCTAAGTTTTCCAATTAATTAGAAGTCCAGTGCATTCTTTCATTGCCCTAGATTGTCAAGAATAAATTTTATTTCTATCAGCCTTACTGTTTAAGTGGTTTAATCTTTCATATTTTACTCATATCTCTGAATATGATTTCTAAAAGAGCAAATATTTCAGTTAGATAAGTGAAATGATAACTTCCCTAATTTTTAAAGCAATTATCGATAGAAAGACATTAGACACAGAAAAACAGTTTTAAAGAGTCAGTTATTTTTCAGCATGAGGGAATAGTTTTAAAAATGTATTTCTGTATTTGATAAGTACAATTTCATCTAGAATTATAATCATTTATCTAAGAATTCCTTTTTTCTCTGCATCTCTAATTAATACCATTTTATTAATAAAATGATTCAGATTCTCCATTCATTTAGAATTGCTCTTATTCAACAGATTTTTCATTTCTGAAGTTACTTTCACTATTTTCAAAAGGAGTTTATCATGGAAAGAGAAATTACAATTGAGTTGAATTCCACTTAGAATGATATTGGAAAGCCTAGTTATTCAGCAATGATTCAGTATATCTGACATACATAAAAGGATGTGGAGGGACACTATGAGAAATGAACCAATTATGATTCATTAAAACAGATTTAAATTATTATATAGTTTTATGCTTGTTTCTAATCCTGTGAGTAGAAGAGAATCTAGATGGAAAAAGTGCAAGCTAGTATTCATATTATATTTCTAAATTTTTTAAAATCGCTACCATTTTATTAGCAATTTTGGTATTTGGGATATATAGTACATACATCTCAGAAAGAGTAGCTGTGTAATTCAAAAGTGGCTGGGTCCCACAATCAACAGATATGTTCACAACCTATTTTTTAATCTCCATCCCTATTCCTCCAAAAATCCATTTCATTGCATGAAGGGAGAACAGTTACTGATGATGTCATGTGACAGACCTAACTGTTTGGCAGGGTTCACGTTGAGCAACACACTTAGCTTTGATGCCTCATCCAAATGCCCCCCAACTGATATTCACCTCCCCTAAACAGCCAGTCCAGCCTTCGTTTCTCTAGAGCCTTTCAACTGTCCACCTCTCATCCCCTGAGCTCCTACTAATATCAACAAAGGCTCCTCTGGACCCTCCGGTTACCTGAATTCATTCTTCAGGGGACTGGGGGAGCATATGTGTGGATTGTAAGTAAATATTTTGCCTTCCACTATCAAAAAATTAGCATAATTACCAACCAAGAAAAAGACAATAGAAATTAATAGTTTCATTTATAGACACTCTAAAAGCTAAGGTTATTGGCATGTATCTCCTTCTTCAATTGGACTAGTGCCACAGAAAGTGGTTTGGGGTATTTTTTCTATTTGTTTGTGCCTCTCACCAAACAGACTAGAATGACTGAGCTGTTCATGCTGGGAGCTGCTGGTGAAGTTGTGTTGCTCTTTTTCCATTTTCTTCCAATGCTCAACCTCAGTGGGCATACATTTGAGGAAGAGCTGAAATGAGTCCTAGGTTGGTTTGTGGAAAAGAAAAAGATATCTTGATGTTTCATGTAAAAGTTCATATTCCTGCCTTCTACTGAAAATCTTCAAGCCCTATTTCTCCCATGGTAACTATCAGCTGAAGTCCAGTGGTAGTGGACTTCAGCCATTTCGATTTCTAGCTCTGAGTTCAGCGACTGAACCTACCATCTGGGTCTTCCTCATCATCCAAGTCAACCAACTTTTTGTAATTTTTATGTATCCTTTATTCTAAGATCATTTTAAAAAATCTCCTCTCTGTTATAAAGTAATCTTTACATATATTTTGATTCTGTTGATCTTAAAATGGAAACATAACAAAGCTCTTCAAACAATTGTGCAGAATTACAGTAATTTACAATTGTTGAGTATGTCAGTTGCTATTCTTTTACTACAAAATGTAGTTTATGCTTGTTTCCAATTCCTGTAAGTAGAAGAGAATCTATATGAAACAAATTATAAGCTAGTATTCATATTATCTTTCTAAAATTTTTAAATTGCTATCATTTTATTTGTTATTTTGGTATTTGGAATATATACTATGTACATCTCAGAAACAGTAGCTGTGTTTAATTTATTATGAAGAAACAAAAGGAGATTTACCATTTACCCTCACAAAAACAAAGTAAATTTTGGCACATTTATGACATTTGGATTATTTTTCTCTTAAAATATGTATCAAAATAATGCTTAAGATTTCCTTGCATTTTATTTCAGCCCTACATATGTCCCTAGAAGACAGCATAAAGTGGCTTGGGGAAGTTATGGCTGAAATTGGACCAACCCAGTCACAAAAAAATGAGGAACAGAATGTCTTTAATATAGAACAAGCCAATGCTATCATTGATTACTTAAAAATCAGGTATGGTTTTGTTTTTAGTAGCATTATTTTTCATTCCATATCTTCTAGAAATTGTCTATTTAAAAATTGAATTTTTATTAATTTTTTATTTATATATGACAGCAGAATGCATTATATTACAATTCTTATTACACATATAGAGCACAATTTTTCATATCTTTGGTTGTATACAAAGTATACTCACACCAATTCGTGTCATTATACATGTACTTTGGATAATAATGTCCATCACATTCCACCATCATTTCTAATCCCATACCTCCTCTCTTCCCCTCCCACCCCTCCCACCCCTGCCTATCTTGAGTTTATCTATTCCTCCCATGCTCCCCCTCCCTATCCTACTATGAATCAGCCTCACTATATCAGGGAAAACATTTGGCATTTAGTTTTTTGGGATTGGCTAACTTCACTTAGCATTATCTTCTCTAACTCCATTTACCTGCAAATGCCATGATTTTATTCTCTTTTATTGCTGAGTAATATTCCATACTTTTTTATCCATTCATTTATTTAAAAATTGGACTTTAAAATCAGGTATTTAGTGGAATGAATCTGACCTAACTTTCATGTACTTACATGATTATACTACAGTGAGTCTTTCTATTATGTATATCCACAAGACACTAATTTTACAAAAAACAAAAATTAAATAAACAGAAAAATAAGGTAGAGAAAAAGGAAGGGGGGAGGGAGAGGATAAGAATAATTATTGGGGTCTTAATTGGAGCAAATTATATTCCAGGTATTTAAAATTATGTCAAAATGAATCCTGATATTATATATAATTTTTATAAACCAACAAATAAAAATAAATAGATAGCAGTGAAAAACAAAGCCTTGCATAAAAAATCAGATGTTTATAGAATTGAAGCAGTAATTAATCAAACCAATACACAAATAATATTCAAATCTTCCATCTAATAAATAAGTCAGGACATTAAACATTTTGGCTAATGTTGCATTCTTTAAAATGATTTGTGTTTAGTAAATACAGTTTTACCTAGAATTATAATAAAATACCTAAGAAATTCTTTTTTTCTCTGCATCTTTAGTACCATTCCATTAATAAGATCATTCTTCCTCATTAATCAGACTTAATTATAATATATTCTATATTTTAGATAGTTGACATTTCCAACTACTAGCTTACATTTTAAAGAGCAATATTCACTTCCATTTAAATGTTCACTTTAAATGTTTTATTTTAGAAATGGAAGAGATTTATTTATTGTATACTATAAAATATTTTATACTATGGACCGATTAAACTCATTATTGTCTGTCTTTCTACTTGGAAAACAACAGTGGATGGAGAGAAAGTATTTTTTTATTACAGTGATTCTTCATTGGTAAATAAAAAATCTGTCTTTTTATATAGTCTGTCACAAAGTCTGCATTAGAGTCATGCATCTCTCCAAAGGGACATTTTGAGTTTGCAAATATCCAAACAATAGCAGGTAAATTCTTTCTTTTGCCTAACTACAAGTCTCTGCATAATATCCTTGTTCTTCTTATGCTATATACTCCAGTGTTTTCCAATTTAAAAATTAAAATTCTAAAGCAAAGGGTGCCAAATGATATTCTAGACATGCTCATGATTTGCTTGGCAAAGATCCTGGTTGTAGTCTGGAAGCTTTATAAATATTAGTGTGTTTAATATGATAAAGTTTATATACTGACTTCTGGCATGAGTTAATAATGGCATATGATATGCTTTTTATATAATAGCATCTGATATAATATGATTTCTTAATATAAAAATATATCTCCTAATGAGTGACTCTCACTAAAAGCCACAGTAGTTCTCATATCAATTAGAGTAAGGCAGGGTCTTTGGGTGTGGGAGGGAAGGAGCTAGAAATTCAGAACTGAATAAGAACCTGGGCTTTGAGGTTTGTTTGCCCACCACAGTTTGAGAATCACTAAGCAAGAGAATTCCACCCTGCACATCTGTACTGGCATCCTTCTTTCCACACTATTTGAATATAACAGGTTGCTCTTGCAGAACACATTTTTATACTTAAGCTCTAGGCCCAGTAGGTTTATAATGGGTGTGGAGACCAATGGCAGCAACACCCACATAAGCACCATAAAGACACCTACTTACTGGATAGTAAGAATGGTCTCCTTTCCCTCTGATCTCTCTAAGGCAGATGTTCATCAATGTATTTCTTAACATTTTCTCTATGTTTATGTTAGAAGGGGATGTCAGCGTTAGTCACCTTTTTAAAAACATTTTTACTGGTTCTTTTTAGTTGTACATGACAATATAATTTATTTATTTTAATATAGGCCTTTATTTATTTATTATTTATATGTGGTGCTGAGAATTGAAACCAGTGCCTCACACATGCCAGGCAAGTGCGCTCCGGTTGAGCCCCAGCCCCAGCCCTAGAATTTAGTTTGACACAATTATAAAATCATGGAATATAATTGTATTCCGTGCATTTATAATTAATTCAGTCCCCAGTACTTCCCCTTCCCCTCCTATTCTCCCACCCCCTGTTCCCTTTCCTCTACTCTACTGATCTTTCTGCTATTTACTTATACTTTTTTAAAAAAATAGTTTCTTACAGATGTACATGATGGTTAAGATTCACTGACTGTAGTATATTCATATACGTCCACAGGAAGTTATGTCAGATTCATTCCACTATCTTCACTACCCCATCTATCCTCCCTTCCCTTCATTCCTCTTTCTCTACTCCCCTGATCTTTTTTCTATTTTTTTCAATCCCCACCCACCTTATTTTGGATTAGTTTCTGCATGTTAGAGAAAATATTTAACCTTTAGCTTTGGGAACTGGCTTATTTCACCAAACATGATAGTCTCCTGATCCATGCATTTACCAGCAAATGACATAAAGTCATTCTTCTTTATGGCTGAGTAATATTCCATTGTGTATATACCACATTTTCTTTTTCTTTCTTTCTTTCTTTCTTTCTTTTTTTTTTTTTTTTTGTACTAGGGATTGAATTCAGGAGTGCTTACCACTGAGCCACATCCTCAGTCTTTTTTGTGTTTGTTTGTTTGTGACATGGTCTTGCTAAGTTGCTTGGGGCATCACTAAGTTGCTAAGGTTGGCTTTGAATTTGCATTACTCCTGCCTCAGCCTGGACAGCTGCCTAGTTTACAGTATGCGCCACCATGCCTGGCTACACATTTTTTTTTTATCCACTTATCTGTTGAAGTGTACCTAGGTTGACTCCATAGATTAGCTGTTGTGAATTGAGCTGCTATAAACATTGATGTGGCTGTGTCACTTGTAGTATGTTGATTTTAAATTCTTTGGATATATACTGAGGAGTATATATCTGGGTCAAATGGTGGTTGTCTGAGGAATCTCCATACTACTTTCCAGAGTGGTTGTACCAATTTGCAGTCTGCCAGCAATGTGAGTGTACCTTTTTCCCCACATCCTCACCAACATTTATTGTTACTTGTATTCTTGATATTTGTCATTCTGAGTGGAGTGAGATGAAATCTCAGGAGAGTTTTATTTTGCATTTCTCTAATTGCTAGAGATGTTGAACATTTTTTCATATATTTGTTGACCATTCTTTTTTTTTTTTTTTTGAGAAGTGTCTCTTTAGTTCCTTTGCCCATTTATTAATTGGGCTTTTTTGGTTTTCTTGGTGTTTTTTTAATTCGATGCCATCCAATTTATTAATTTTTAATTTTACTTCTTGTACTTTAGGGGCCTTGTTAACGAAGTCAGTTCCTGAGCCTACATGTTGGCATGTTGAGCCAACATTTTCTTCTAGCACTGGCAAGGTTACTGCTATAATTCCTAGATCTTTAATTCATTTTGAATTGACTTTTGCACAGGGTGAGAGATAGGGGTCACATCTTATTCTCCTACATATGGATTTCCAGTTTTCTCAGCATCATTTGTTAAAAAGGCCATTTTTTTCACCAAATTACGTTTTTGGCATCTTTTTCTAGCATGAGAGTACTATACTTCCATGGATTTGTCTCTGTGCCTTCTATTATATTCCCTTGGACTTTATGCCTGTTTTGGTGCCATACCATGCTGCTTTTGTTACTATAGCTCTGTAGTATAGTTTGAGGTCTGGTATTGTAATGACTACTACTTTGCTTTTCTTGCTAAGGATTATTTTAGCTATTCTGGGACTCAATTTTCCAAATGAATTTCATGACGGCTTTGTATTTTTCTGTGAAGAATGTCATTGGGATTTGATGGGAATTGCATTAAATTTGTATATCATTTCCGTAGTATGGCCATGTTGACAATATTACTTCAGCCTATCCAAGAACATGAGAGGTCTTTCCATCATCTAAGGTCTTCATTTCTTTCTTTAATGTTTTATAGTTTTCATTTTAGAGCTTCTTCTTCTCCTTCTCCTTCTTCTTTTTGTGGTCCTGGGGATTGAACCAAGGACCTTGTGCATGCAAGGCAAGCACTCTACCAACTGAGCTACATCCCCAGGCCTTTCTTCATTTCTTTTGTTAGATTCATTCCCCAGTTTGTTTGTTTTTGAGATCATTGTGAATGGGATAGTTTTCCTAATTTATTTTTCAGCAGATTCATCATTGGAGTATTGCAACATAATTGATTTATGGGTGTTATTTTGTATCGTGCTACTTTGCTGAATTGATTCATGAGTTCTAAAAGTCTTCTGGTGGCAATTTTTTGGGTCTTCTAAATATTGGATAATGTCATGGCAAACAGAGGTAGTTTGAGCTCTTATTTTCCTATTCATATCCATATAGTTTCCTTCTCTTGCCTAATTGCTCTGGCTAGAGTTTCAAGGACTGTGTGGAATAGGAATGGTGAAAGTGAACATCCTTTACTTGTTCCTGTTTTTAGAAGAAATGGTTTTAGTTATTTTCCATTCAGAATAATGTTAATAATGTTGACCTTGGGTTTGTCATAGTCTGTCCAATGTTGAGATATGATTCTTTTATTTTTTATTAGAGCTTTATGGTTATACATAGTAGTTGGGTTCATACCAACAATCTCATACATGCATAGGAA